TCTGCCATCAAGTAATTCTTTTTAACTTTTGATATGAAGAATTTGTCAGCAACACTATAATCATACAGAACATCAATTAGAGAAAACATCTTTAACATAAGATAACATTATGTGCTGAAGGTGAGGAATTTAAAATATGTGCAAGATTTCTCCATTTATTTTTGACAATATATACAATAATAAGAGTTATCTAATTTCATTATATAAAAATGTATCAAAAACAGTTGAATTTTTATGTAAGAAAAAACATGAAAGAAAAACATGAAAGAAAAAAAATATATATTTGTGACAAAAATGAAGTGTAAAAATCTCCCATTTTCTAAGCAATCCAAACTGCTTCAGACATTAATGAATCAATATTCACTAAAAGTCAAATGTTAAAATAGTAACAGCAGTCTAGACAAAACAATCCTGTCTCTTATTTAAAGTCAAAGAGGATTGTGCTGCCAGAGTCATCATCCGTCTCCTCTTCTCGGCTGTCCGATGACTCCTGCACGACAAACATTGAACAGATGACGTCAGGGAAGGGCCTGGTCTTCATATCTATGCTCGCTTCTTGAAGTTGCTCCTTTATTTCCTTTCCTGTCTCAACACCATCTGCAAAAAAGAGTAATCTGACTTATATATTCATAGCCAGAAAGTATAATAAATTCTCAGATATGATCCAAACACAAAGTACAAATAGTTTGATTCCACTCTCAGTTGTGACACTCAATATCACAATTTATATGAAATGTCGTTTTAACATATGAGCAATACAATCACATGAAGGTAAATATTTGTAGTAATATCCACATTCTTAAAACAGTTTCTTCATCTAATTTCTTTTCCTTGAATCTGCTGTTGACTATGTACAGATAATAATGAATTTTAATAAATGGAAGATCTTTAGGTATATTTCAAATACAAAATGAAATGTTTGCAAATGGCTTTCCATCTGACAATTACTTCACTTTCCAAATATAAAGTCCTTCTATTGTCATTGAACATAACATGATATACCCTCTAGAAAAACATACCAAATTGAGAACATATGCAAGTTGCAGGGCACACACACACACACCTCAATACCTACCAACAAACCTGACTTTGACCTCATGAGGATAAATCTCCAAAAGCTTGTACTCCAGCACAAATTCAAACCGGGACATCCCAGCTTCAGCCTCCTGTAGATGATCAAGGGAGTTTTAACTGTCCGAACACAATCCTTTCAGTGTCATAACGTGTGCTTCATAGATTTTCCATTAACCTGTAACTATTAGTTCTGGATGCTTTACAGCCATCACAAGCATTCGTCTTATTTGAGCAGACACGCTGATGGGTGTGCCACTTGTAGGTTGGGTGCATGCGAACAACTGTATGCAGTGACAAGACTCAATGCCTCCCCTTTGCAATGTTATTTTCTCTATTGCTGCATAAACATTTTTAGCTTTTTTGCCATTTTCCTATGTATATATTTATTACTTGATTTGTTTTATCCAGATGGTTAGACTATTTTCCTTGCACAGACTCCTTATCATCTTTCTAGTAGTCCATAAATCAGTGCAATAATATTAAAAAAAAAAATTCTATCTAATTTTCTGTAGTATAACCTACGCCACCAGTCATGGCAGCCAGGAATAGGATCCTGAACATGAAAATGGTGTCCCCTCCGGAGTTGGTACTCTTCCAGTCATAGTGTATGGACAGTACATTCCACATTCATTTATTGATAGAAATAATGCGAAAGCCCCCTCCTAAAATCCAAATGAATCCACTCATCATCCAAGAACTTTGTGCACTTGGCAAGTCATTCCAGTCACCCAAGCCTTAAGTCAAGTTAGCATTATCCCAGCCCACAGCCAAATTTTCCCATGACAGAATGTTCATGTCATCCACCCCTCAAGCCAATTTTTTCATGAAGTGATTGGTCACGTCATCAGGATTGTAGGGGTTAATGAAAGGCTGATGGACTTTGTCTCATTTAAGGAGCCTATACAATGGAATATATACTATTTGCCAGCAGGGGCACCCACAATATATAAAGTATGCTGACAAGCCTGACCCTTTTAGATCTATCTCAAAGCTTCCCTCAACCTTATTCTTCTCCAATTCAACACCCTCACCTTTAACCCATTGCCGCCGGGGAAAATGAACAAAAAATGGGGAAAATGCTGTACTCATTTTTTATATTTTTGTAAATTATCTCTGTCCATAGATGGCTCTGCTAGTCCTGATTTCACCTTTTCTTGAATTGGCGGGAAAAAAACGTATTCTTACTAGTGCTATAAATATAGATGGTGTTATTTTTAACAGCAAATTAGGATAACGTTAAATATTTTCGTAAATCTATGAAAAGAGTGAACGGGCGAGACATCTAAGGGCATCAACCATAAAGCATCCATCCATAATCTTTACACTACGCCAACTTCAGGGAGCACCAATCTACCAACAGATACCTCCCTGCCATATAAATTCATAAACAATCATTTCAGTCCAAAAGTTCTCCACTTTGTATATCTATAGCAATTGCAATCTCTTCCTAAGCCCTCCATAACTCACTGCTTGGGAACCACTACTTCATATTAACAAAAAATTGCTATATTGAAATAACTGGGTCACTAAGTTTCTATACTGCATATTCGATACTCAAAGTGTTAATTCTTGAAGGACATAATAGGTATTCATCATTGTAGTAAATATACATCTTGTGTATGTGCCAATAGCATAAAAAGGGAAGAAAAGGGAAGACCAATATATTTATAAATATATGAACTAAACCTACAATAATCAAAATATTAGAACAGTGTCTTCGTATTTACAATGCTTCTTACAATTTGGTAAAAAGTATTGTAACAAAACTTAAATCAAATATAAGAAAAATTAAACACAATTATAACTAATCTTAAGATATGAGAGAGAGAGAGAGAGAGAGAGAGAGAGAGAGAGAGAGAGAGAGAGAGAGAGGAGAGAAGAGAGAGAGAGAGAGAGAGAGAGAGGACAGAGAGAGAGACAGAGAGAGGAGACAGAGAGAGAGACAGAGAGAGAGGACAGAGAGGAGAGACAGGAGAGAGAGACAGAGAGACGAGGACAGAGAGAGAGGACAGAGAGGAGAGACAGGAGAGAGAGACAGAGAGAGAGACAGAGACAGAGACAGAGAGAGAGGACAGAGAGAGACCAAGCGATATGTTAACAATACTAGAGGACAGACGGGCAGGTGTGGTAACAAATTAAATTAATATACTTAAGTGAACAACAGAGGAGTACAAGAACACCAATGTACATTTTTAGTTTTTCTTATTTTAGGTTTTTAATCTTTGTTATACAAAGCCTTTTTTTAGCTGAAATGAATAAAATTTGTTCAATACTTATGGTCTTAATAAACCCTCTATTTCATTTATCCGTATTACTCTATAAATTAACTGTAATAACACTTGTAGTTTTTTCTTTATCCCTTATAAGTAGTCAACCAGTTTTGCTGCAATATTGTTTGAATTTCTTATAAACAATACATAAGAAAATATAACTGACCCCAAAGATTTTGTATATGGAATTGTATACTTGTATAAATTTAAAAATATAAAATCTTACCGCAGCTACTTCAATCAACAGCGACACTAATGTACAGTCACTGTTGGTGTGAATGCGTGAATCAAACATTTTTGCTTCCTGAAACAAAAAAAGAAAATATATAACTATACATTTTGATTGATCTCAAAGTCTCCTATCACAATAAACTTTAAACATATTCCTCTTATTTTCCCAAAGAAAAAGAAAAGAGTCTAAAATCATTCAGTCAATATTTTCAAACATTGGAAAATCAGCTGAACATAATAATCACGAGAACACTGACCGTTATTCCAAGAAGTATAATTTCTGATTTTCAGCTCAGGATTTTTTTATACCTCATTCTCTCTCTCTCTCTCATTCTCTCTCTCTCTCATTCTCTCTCTCTCTCTCATTCTCTCTCTCTCTCTCTCATTCTCTCTCTCTCTAGATATTAGTAACCCTTTTGTTTCTTTTTCCTTCCCTATCTGTGATCAATCTTTCATCCCCCTTGATCATTAGCATTATTTTCCATATATTCTTCTCTCTCTTGCTATTCAATTTCTTTTATTGCTGCATCGAGTACTTCCCACTTCCCTGATTCGACATTAACATACGCAATCTCACGTTCGATGCAGCATTTCCTATCACTCATTCATCTTGTTTAACCTCAAGCAATCCATCCCCATTCTATACTATCATTTTGTTCCAGCTTCTTCCCTTCACTTCCCATTGTTTCTCTCCCTGCCATGCTCATTTCTTTCCATAGTAAACCTAGGGCACACGAAAGAAATACCACCCTCTAATAAGAGACGTTGATATATTTATGAAAAATGCTTTGTCTACTGGGACGGGCAGGACAAACTTTCGGACACATCTTTACCATTGTGAGGAAGTTAAATAGCAGACTGAGGATCAAAAAAACATTGGGATCAGAAACTAATCAGAAAAGAAAAAGTTTGGCACAATAGCCCAACAACAACAACAGTAGTAACCAATGCCATGACCGATCCCTCTCCTATTCGATCTCCCAAAAACTCTGCCTCAAAGCTGTTGACAAGGAGATGTATTTAGGCAGGCTGTGAGGCAGACACTGGAAAGAAATTTAATCTTGGTAACGTAATGACAGATGAAAAAGAATTACAATAAATATGATTCAAGAAATTGCAATAACAGTATATGAATAGCAGGCTGTGATGCAGACACTGAAAGAAATTGATCTTGTTTACTAATGACAGATAGAAGAGGAGTCTAGCATACAATAATTATGATTTTAGTAAACTTGGCAATAACAGTAATAATAGCCATTTGTACTGTAAAGTTAACAAAATCAAACCGAAAAAAAAGAGATGAAAAGTGAAAAGGGCAAAAAAAAGCAAATTGGGAAAAAATGACAAGATAAAAGAGAAGACGCGAAGAGGAGGATCAAAAAGAAAAAAATATATATACACACAGGTCCTAAAATATGAAAAAGAGTCTTTATGCTAAAAAACAAAACAATTACAAATTTGGAACCCTTAAGCTACATAAAAGGTACTTTCTAGTGAACATTTCTTGTAACCTGACAAATCATTCCCAATGGAAATAAGGTTTGTGGATTTTAACTCTTCTTAAAAGTCATACCTTAGGAAGAAAATACACATGTAACTTGTATCATTTGCTTACAAAATGTTAGAATAAACAATCTTTGAGTATGGATATCACAAACTCTTTAGATTTAATATACACTTAAATAAGTATTCTATATATAGCTAATGGCATGTGTATGTCCTAAATGAAACAACTTCATCAATTTCCAATATATATCTCTGTTTCACTACAAACACCGCTAAACAACTCAATAACCTAGCTATGAAAGGAAGTGCTTGAATTGTCAAATACTGGAAATTAGCAAGGACTAGAAAACAAGAACGAAAGAAAAAATTCCCGAGCTGAGTTATAACCCATGTGCCGCTGGGGAAGAATGTAATATAAATGGAGGAAATGCAGTACTCAGTTATTATACATTTTTGTGAAATATCTCGTGTCCATAATGGCTCTGCTAAGTCCGATTCACCTTTCCTGAATTGCGGGAAAAAAAATAGTTTTACTAGTGCATCAATATAGATGGCGTTATTTTTACACAGGCAACTAGGATATAACGTTTAAATATTTTCGTAATCAATGAAAAGTGGGACCCGGGCGAACAGGCAGTACTGTATTGGACTCATTGATACTTAGTACAAGTGTAGCATATCTATGTGTAAAAAACAATCAAACAAGTCGACTCACAGTGGAATGCATGCATGACCCTCCCCGCAGCAATGGGTTAATATTGATGGGGACACAAGTTTCGTTCTATTTGAGCAAACCCGTAATGTCAGGAAGACATACCTGTAGGTCTTATTCTCTTGGGGTAGTAAGCAAAAGTTCAGTGTTTTGGGGTAATTCCTCCCTGGCGAGTGTGTGAATGTAACGACAATTGCTAAATCAGCGAGCTCCTGGGCCACTAAGCCTGCGCCAGGGAGAAAGAAAATGCGGAATTAGAAACGGGGTCTGTAAACCATGTCTTGAAATGATGACATTAGAGAGATATATAGATATATATAGTAGAGATAATCTAATATATATATATATATATATATATTATTATAATAATATTGATGATAGATATATGATAGTTAGATATGGGATATAGAGGATATATGACACAGTAAGAGGGATATAGAGGAGATATAGTATATAAGAATAGATATAGGAGAGATAGAGATATATAGATATAGTAAGATATAGAATAATAGATGCTAGATATCTATAGCTATAGAGATTATATTGAGATATATGAGATATCGAGATAGATAGAGAGATAAACGTGGTTATATATATATAGAGAATAAGGAAAAGATATATATTTATCTATAAATAGTTATATAGAAGAGATTCAATAGATAGAGTTATAGACATATATTTATAGATATTATGTGATTAGAGGAATAGATATAGATAGTATATATATATATAAATTATATAAACATATGAGAAATAGAAATCAAGAGACGGATAGTATAGAACATATATAGATTAGATAGTATAAAGAAATACTGAGGATATTAGATTACCGATAGATAGCATATCGATATATATAGAAGTGATTAGTATAGATAGAGTAGAAGATATATATATAGATTGAGATAGATATAGATAGAAAAGAGCGGATAGGAGAGCCAGATATATAGAGATAAAGAGAGTACGGATATAGATAATATAGAAAATAGAGAGAGTATGATAAATAGAGATAGATAGAGAAATATATAATATAGAGAGAGAGATATAAGAATATATCAGAGATATTATTAGAATATGATATTATAAATATATAAGATATGAAAGAGAGAGAGAGATAATAGATACTGATAAGAGGTATCCAGAGAGAGATAAAATAGATACGGTAGAGAGAGAGTAGAGAGAGAAAAGAGATACGAGTATAGATAGAGCTATAAACTATATAGATAATAAAATATATATAGAGAAAGAGAGATAATATAAATAAATAGAGAGATAAAAGAGAGAGGAGAGAGCGATGAGAGATACGATAGAGATTAGAGATGTAAGAGATAGAGATAGATAATAATAGCGATGAGAGATTATTAGAACAAAGAGAGAGATAGAGAGCGAGAGAGATAGAGATAGATATAGAAAATGAGAGATCGAAGAAAGACGATAGAATGAGATGAGAACAGAGAGAGAGAGAGATAATCATAAAGATAGTAGAGAAAGAGTATAGAGAAGAGCGAGAGATATAGAGAGAAAGAATAGATAGAGATATAGAATATATGAGAATATAGAGATATATAGCAAAGAAAGAGAAGAAAGAGAGAGAGAAATGGAGAGAGAAGAGATAACGAGATAAGGAGAGAGAAATATGAGAGATATCATATAAAGAGAGACAGAGAGAAGAGAAAGACTTATAGCAATAGAAAAAGAGATACAGGAGTG